TGGGGATGTGGCTCAGTGGTCAAGTGCCCCTGAGTTCAATCCCGGTACCAAAAACAAAAAACAAAAACTGGTTTCTGACTGTCTTCTTCCTCCTAGGAACTTGCTTTTAGCAAAATGGCAGAGTAGGACAGTACTTAGCAGATCAATGCTATTTATGTTTGGGGTAGAGTCTGAGATTTTTGCATTTCTAACAATTCCAAGGTGATGCCTGGGATGCTAGTCTGAGAATCATGCTTTGAGTAGCTGGGAATAGAGTATTTTTAACTGTAATTCACCTCCCCACTAGTTGTTCCAATGCCATTCCTTTCCGTGGATTTTGTGTACAGCTAGCGATTAGCTAATGTAATGGAATATTTCTGAAATAGTAATGGATTTCCATTCTTTCCTTAGCCTTCTTGCCACACCCAGCTCTTCTATCTCCCACACGTGTTCAACACTGGTTATACATTAGAATCATCTGTGGAGCTTTCCACATCCACAGCCCAGTTGTGCCAGGGCAGTGAGGAAGGTTGCTGAAAGACCAGAGAAAGTGCCCAGAGGCAGCATGCAAGACATATGATTTATGGGGCAAAACTTACAAGAGATCAGCAACTGCTCCAAGAAGAGGCCAATGGCCATAGGCTAAACAGATAGCAAGCACATCTGTCCTCTCTGATTTGCCAAACAGTACCTCCTCTCCTTCACAGCTTTTTGTCCAGTGGCAGCCAACTAGATGAATGACACAAATTCTTTCCGTAGTGCTCTCAGTTCTGTGCCAGTCACTACTGAAAGAGGTTTTATAAGTTAGGCTACAGAAGCAGTGACATCACATAAGCTTGCTTAGTTTGCTTGTATGACCAGCATCCTAAGGAGCAAACTGTTCTGGTGTATATGTAAGAAAGTAGCTTTCTTTCTTTTTTTTTTTTTTTTCAGTTCTTTTTTTCCTTTTCTTCTTCTAAGAAAGTAGCTTTCTAAACCAGGCATGGTGGTGCACTCCTATAATCCCAGTGACTCGGAAGACTGAGGCAGGAGGATCACAAGTTGGAGGCAAGCTTCTGCAACTTAGTGAGACCCTGTCTCAAAATAAAATAGTAAATAAAAAAGGGTAGGAATGTAGCTCAGTAGTAAAGCTCCCCTGGGTTCAATCCCCAGTACCAATCCTACTTCCTGAAAAAAAAAAAAAAAAAAAAAGAAAGTAGCTTTCTACAGATAACACTAATATGCCCTATTCCCAGCGTGCATAAGAGGAAGATGGTGTCCTTCAAGATAATATATGTCTGCACTTTATGGCTTAGGTTGCTCTCATTATTCTCAACTTGCCTAAGTTTTTGGTGTTTTACTGCCTCTCTTTTCTTAAAAATTATACATAGCTGAATCTCTGCCTATAAATTATTAAACAAAAATACATAGGAAGAGAGAAACCTCAAATGGAGACCAGATATACCCTCCAAACAAGAACAAAGTTTCAAGAGAAATTATGATGGATTATAAAAAGATAGGTATACTCCTTGGCCACTTGAATTGTGGACCAAGATTCACAAGTTAGTCCTTCAGAAATATTGTAGTTGTATTTTAAATGCAGAGTTTTTTTTGGCGGGGGGTACCGGGGAATGAACTCAAGGGCACTTTTCCCAGGCTTTTTAATTTTTTACTTTGAGACAGAGTCTCATTTGCCTCAGCTTTCCAAGTCACTGGGATTACAGGT